AGCTTCCCAGATAAAGGAACACTTCCACTTACTAAGGAAGGTAGCTCATGTGGGTGGTTTTCTGCTATTCAGTGGGACATTCTGGACTGCTCTAGAACAGAGTGCCTCATCTGGGTATAACCACTAAGGAACAATTCTGTAACTTTCATTTAACAAATGGTCACTTTACAACCAAACTTCAGAGATGAAGCCTGAGCCTCTGGAATTTTTGCGTCGTTAGTAGGTGAACATTTTTATGATACCACACTGTCACCATCAGATCATGTACTTTCATTGGGGGGGAGGGGGAGAGGGAATCTGAGATCTACGAGTAGTTACATAAAAGTTCTGCAAAAAGAACAGGAGTACTTGTGGCACCTTAGAGACTAACAAATGTATTAGAGCATAAGCTTTCGTGGACTACAGCCCACTTCTTCGGATGCATAACGTTCTGTGAGTTAGCTATTCTGTCTGTGCGCTACATTTACAGATATATTAAGCAAAAGATTCACCACCAACAAAATAAAATCCAGGTTTGCAAAGAGTTATTTATAAACTATGATGGGAACGTTTCTTCTGTGAAACTCAAAGAACTGTTTAGTCAACAAATCACTGTTTCATCTCATTCATCTACCGCACACCCCAATGGAAGTTTAGGTCTCCAGCAGTCATTTGATGTGATCCCCAAAGATGACAATGTTGAAATTAGTTTTACCAGCTTGAAATTAAATTTTAAACAATACAAGTTGGGTCTGTAACAATGTCAGTGGAGGGAGACGAGTAATTAAGTTTTATTTCTCTCCTGTTTGGCTGTCTTCTTTTCTCTGATATGATACTAAGTAGAAAAATCAAATAAAAAAAAAGTAGAAATCTCTTTGAAGTCTAGTGAATCCTTTTGTTTTAGTGTGTGATTTCCTTTTTGTAACTCAAGGCAGAGAAGTAATGAGAACTGCCGTTAAACTATCAAAATAAAGAACAGCTATGCATACTGCACAAATATATTTTAAGCTGAATCAAAATCAAATAGCACAGCTGACAAAGGAAATTCTCCCTCTGTTGATGTTAAGTGCAGTTTGGAAACTGAGGAATATGTCTGAATGGAAGCCCAGTAATTCAACCACAAATATGAAACAATTTGAAAATCAGATGCAAATAGAGAGAATAACTATCAAAATACTTTTAAAAGGAGAAATTTCACTACCCTTCTTAGACAAATACAGCTCCTGGAAATTAAAACCCAGAAAGAATACCCTGAATCAGGCCAGAAGAATCATTTTGATCCAATATAGAAAGTCTCCTAATTATTTTTTAGACAGTAAATGATTTACAGTCAAAGTAAGGTTATCTAAAAGTATTACAACGAAGTAGATATATGAAAATCTCTGATAACTATTATACATACAAAGAACTGGATAATCTGTGGGTTTAGCATACAATCAATTTTAACAAGTGAAATGTTAACACCCAAATGTCACAACATCTCATGCATTTTTGGAAGCAAAGTAAGAGACAGAATTCTTGACTGAAGATGTTTTTTATGGAAGAAGACATGTAATGGAAAAAGCAAACAATTATAAAGTATTGGGCAAAATTATGCCATATGAAAGAAAGACAAAAATAATAATAATAAATAATGTCATTCAAATGTAAATGGTTTATTGCATATAAATTGATGAAAAGCATGTCAAATAATGGCTGTTCCTGTATCATCTAAATTATTTATCAAGATTAAAGCACATTATCCAGAACTGCAATTTCATAGTTCATTGTCGCTGAAAACTTGTAACCTCCACAAACACATACTTGGAACTGGGGATAAGGTCTCCACCCTTGAAAAGACTGTTTTTAATACATACGAGTTAGGTGTGTGAGAATATATAGTGAGTGATAGACATAAGATTGACGACAGTGTTACAAGTAATTCTCTCTTTTAATGTAATGAGCTACACTTGATGCTGCATGATTTATTCCACCAACTAGCAGTAAAGAGATAAAAATAGCAACTGAACTTAACTCTTGCAATATCCTGTGATGGTATCTGCATTATGTTAGCTAACGCAACACCATTGTATGAATGCAGACTCTACAGGGGTTCCACAGGCAAGTGAGCTTGATGTGCCATCACTTTACTTCACAATGATTTTTTTTCAAGTAGTGGTACCTGAACCAATCAAGTCTGAGAATGCTGCTCTATACATTTATACCATATAGATCTATTAAAAAGCCAATTCTAAAATATGACTGGATTCCTGCCTCCAGGAATTTACAATCCAGTTCAGGCATTTGGGGAGTGCGGGGGAAAGAATCTAGCAGTTGATAGCACATGCTTGACGAAAGGGAGAAAATCTTGCAGTGACAGTTACTGATAGGCTTTATGGAGGATTTGAAGGAGGAGGTTGTTTAGCCCACAAGAGCATGACATTTAATACATATAAAGAGCATTTACAATCTTGAATAGATACTTTGCTTGGTAATGTTTCTCCTGATGGCATTCTGCACCAAAAAATTAAAAATTTTGTGCCAAAAAAATATTCTGTGCATCATATTTTAAAATTCTGCAAATTTTATTTGTCAAATAAATGTGAGGGCTCCAGAATTGCATTGGGGAGCACAAGCCACTGGCTGCACAGAGGTGGCAGATCACTGTGCAGCTCCCCTCGCCCCCAGGACACAGATTCAGTGGTGAGTCTGCACCCAAATGTGACACAGCGCAAGGACCAGACCTGCCTCCAAAACACCCCAGGGCCCTGCCCCTCTGTGCCAGGTACACCAGGTGTGGGCAAGCAGGCTCTGCTAGGCAGGATTCAAGTGTGGGGGGATCCAGATGTGGGTTGAGAGGGTTCTGTGTGGGGCAACCTGGGTGCAGGCAGCTCAGTGGAGAATCCAGGTACGGGGGAGATCTGGATGCACAGGGGTATGTTGGGGGGTTCTGGGTTCAATGGTAATGGGACTCTGCAGGGGGGGTCCATGTGAAGGTGGCTGGGGCTCAACAGGAGAGGTCTGTGTGTGAGGAGGAGGATAGAGCTTGGCAGAGGGGAACGGGTGTGGGGGGCTCAGTGGGGGGTTCAGAAGCTGGGGGAGTGGGGCTCAGTGCAGTGGAGATCTGGGTGGCTCGTCGGGGTGGTCCAGGTGTAGAGGGAGTGGGGCTCATCGTGGGGGTGGGTTCTGAGTCCAGGGGGTGAGGCTCAGTGGGAAGGTCTGGGTTTGAGGGGGATTGGGCGGATAGGGGAGAAGCTCCCTGTACAGGAATCCTTCCCCCTGCAGCTGAGGAGTGATGGGTGCAGGAAGCAGAGGCAAAGGGAGTTTGCGGAGCTTCCTGCAGCTGGGGGAGAAATCTGGGGGTGGGTCTGACCTGGCCCTGGATGCCATGCAGAGGAAGAGGAAGTCCAGTCTTCCCCAGCCGGGTCTTTCCCAGTCCCGCCCCCCACCCCACAGTGATTTCTCTCTCTGCTGGCTGCCCTGGGGACCCAAAACATACTGCTGGGGAGGATCGCATGACTGCTCTTGTGGCTGCCTTTTGCTTCCCCATCAGAAAGTCATTTTTCTGCGGGGAAGAAAAGAAATCTGTGGGGGACATAAATTCTGTTCATGCGCAGTGCCACAAAATTCCCCCAGGAGTATAATGTGCATGTTGAAATAAAAACTTGTAAACTTAGGCATTGATTGTAAGCATTCCTACTCACAAAGGGAGGTTAAGTCCCATTGAAGATTTGTGCTTAAATGGTTCCCTAAATAAGGATGGACTTAGAACTTGCTTAAGTTCGGTGGCCTTATTACTTATGTAGCATCCATTTATGTTTTCATATTAGTCATATTAAAATAATCATATACAAATAATATCGAAGCTCCAACTTTAACTCACAGAAACAAGAACGTTCATAGTTAAGTAAAGAATAACCCATACTTCTTGTTCATAGACACTGCAGGTGCCTAAAAAGAAATGAGATCTCACACACCATATCTATCTACATCTAGATACAACAAGAAGACTTAAGGATGTAGAGAGAAGCCATTCAATTTCATTTCCCTGGGTTTAAATTAGAACATTTGTGCTACTTTATCATAGTGGGCAAATTAATCCATGGAACAGTGCCATTTACTTTAGTGAGTTTACACAAGGGATGAAGTTGGCACAATAGCTGTATTTGTATTTACTTGAAGGAAGGGTAAAATTAGAGATCTATCCAGGGACAAACTGTAAACATTAGCATTCTACTATGAGGATTGTAATGCTTCCCAAGCAAGCGTATGAGCTATGAGTGGATAAAAACATAGGAAATGGCAGCTTATTAGTAGCCATCCCAATTAAACATTCACACATCCAATAATAACTCAAAAGAGTCATTACAATTTTTCCATTTAGATTTTAAGCATACAATAGCTCCTAGTAAGAGATACTGTGGATCCAAAATGAATCCTAAATCCAGCAGCACTGACAAACATCTTAGAGGAACTCCAAAGGACCCATTTTTATAACAGTGACGCATCCTAAAAACACAGCATCATAAGAACTCTAATGAGGATTTAATGAAATTTGCTTTTACTGTAAGCATACATTCTATGCAAAATAATTGTTCTTCTTACTACTTTACAATACATAAAGTGAAGGATTAAGAGCCGCTAAAATTAGTTTTAAAACACAAGCAATTTTTATTGTGCGTCACATAAAAGGATCTGAAATCAGAAAACATTTTCCCCTACTATTTTTAAGAAGGGGGGAAAAAAAAATTCAAATCATCATCATCATCATCATCAATAAACCTTGAGATGGACCTTTGTATAAACAAGATTAAGACCAATGAAATATTTCTGTGGAAATACTAACTCCTGAAAGTACTGGTGCATAATGTAATGAATGAAGGAATTAAATACAGCGGGCACCAGCAAGCACACTTACAACATATTTGTAATACAAATAATACATTAACCTACTACCAGGTCTATCTTATAAAAAGGAAATTACCTGTGGGAGTAAGATTTTGTAATCTTAAAGCTGATTTAGGTAACTGAAATAACCTTACCTTGAAAAGACTGTTTGGCCCTGTCCACTAGTTCTTCAATTGGATAACTTGCTAGGTCTCCTCTGGCATGTTTGGTTTTGCAATAGGTACATGCATTGAGACACCTATTTAAAGTTTAAAATACATTAGTTTACTGTCAAAAATACTCTTCCCAATACTTTAATACACAGAATTGTAGCAAAACAAAAATATGCAAAATACAACTTTTATATGTAGAAATGCAGAGGTACTACTAGCTTAATTAAAAAAAAAACATTTTCACACCAGTAAATATGCCATATTTGTTTTTTTTTGTTCTTTATTCTTCTTCCCTATTTTAAAGAGATAATCAAAGTAGTTTACTCAGACTTTAAAAACCAAATGGTTACACCCTACAGCCAGTGGAAATTTTGTGCAAGGACTGCAGATCAGGAATCAAGGTCTTTCTAAAAAGTAACAGGCTCAAGAGATTTTCACATGAAAGCCCTTTTTACAGTTTGAATTTGTGGCTATATTTCCCACCATTGCTACCTCCAGGGTCATCTCCTGTGATGGCAGGGATGATGCAAGTGCTAGGCCCAGCACCTGCTGCTTCTGGCTTTTAAGCACTGTCTTGTGCAGACCTGTATACATTGGTGCTCCCACTGTTGCTGGTAATAGCAAGGGGTGAGCAATTTTAGTCAAAAATCCAAGTGCAGACTTACTCAGACTTCAGTGTTACCATAAAAAACAGAAATTCATGAGAATCTAAGGACTAAGCCACAAATTTCCAGCCTTTTAGTCTAGAAATTAAACATGAGTTCCACAGGCAGAATTACAACTCTGTCATCTCTTAAGATATTCAAATACTCATTTAAGCCTTCATAAAATTTAGAAAAGAATTTAATGTGACAGATTCTTACCATTGTCTTAAAACCATTTTGTACACTTTAGAAATCTTGAAAAATACAGTACATTTTCCCCTCTCCTGTGTCTTATTTGGCTTAACAATATTAATGTATGAAATAGTGAGGGCAGAATCATTACATGAGAAGAGAGTTTGATGACCAATTGGGAGATGGGAAGCATTAAGAAAAACACCCATAAGAAACTCCAAGAACTTCAGTGTGTCTAATTTATCTGACAATATATTAAAGCCAGATTAGTTCATTGCAGCAAGGATAGGAGGATCATAAAATGCTCACTGCAAGCTTTTCTGGGATTAGTCTTGGCAGTGCCATGAACATAGTAAGGCAGAAAGTTAACAGCAGCTTTTTTTAAAGTTGACTTATTTCCCATTTAGTAGGCAGAAATATCAAGAAAGAAAGAAAGAAAGAAA